TCGAGATTTTTAATCTCTGCTACACACATCGCGGAAATTAAAATTGCCACGATTAATATTGATTTTCGCAACAGCGCGATACATCATGACACTATTGCGTCTTATATTTTTCAAGATATATTACCGAAAATAATGAAAGAAAATATGAAATATTTACAAATTGATTTCAAAACGAGGCAAAATGTTTAACAATAATTCAGAATCTGGATCAAAAGTTACTTCAAATGAGGTTGTAAAGTGAAACGAGTTTGACCGGGACACCATCTAACTTATTGCTCGTGAAATTAGAAACAGATTGATCACTCGAAAACGGAGATACTTGCGACTAAAGATATTTGCGAATGTTTGTAACTGAAACATAAAATTTGTGACTAAATTACATTTATTTATCGCATCTTCAGCAATTAAGCCATCAGATAGGGCCTTCGCGCAATCAATGGGATGAACGTGTTAACAGAGGCGAGTCGAGAGAGAATCATTCGCGCGAGTCGCGCGACCGCTTCGGCGAATTAGCGTCGGAGCGATTTTTGCGCGCGAGTCGCCGTCGGGAAATTTAGCGCGCGGTAAATAACGCGCGGTCGAAACTATTCAATCGCGCGCTCCGCCTCGCCTCACCTCTCGCCGTCGCGTCGCGATGATAAATGACGAGGGCCCGGGCGCGACAGATTAACACGTTTCCACTATAGATTCGCCGTTTCCACGATAAGCGGCGACGGTGGTAGCGGCGGAGGAAGAGGAAGGCCTCGGGCTGATTGGCATGTATGCGCGGCGCGATCCATTAGAGAGTGGATCCGAGGACCCGGATTAGCCGATTTTGTAGAGCACGCGGCATAATCGCGCCTTCGTTAGCGCTCCCCGGCGCCGCGGATCGCGCCGGCCTCAATTAGTTCGCGTCAAATGTCATCGCCGCGGCGGATGACACTACGCAAAGTGTATTTCAATCCCGCCGACAAACTCGTAGATTCTGCATAAAAAAGTCAATAAAAGGGGTCCCAGTAAACATGTGTCCTCAAACTCTTAGTTTCTGAGACACGGCTGCCGTCTCTTCGCAGTTTAAAAAGAATATATTTTGTTCGTTAAATCGCGTTTTACAAAGAAGTAATCAGAAAGAGTACACCATCTATATTAGATATACCCTCTGTATAGAATTGCGCGCGCTCTCTCCCCCTCCCCCTCTTTCTCTCTATCTCCCTCTATACGCGTCTAATTTTAGAAACCGCGCTTTTGATTAACTCGAATCATCATACCCTGCATTGTGCCACTTCTCCTCCAGCACTTTCTCTCTTCGTCCATCTCTTTTTTTTTTTCTCTCATACATCGCGCTCCCATCGCGCTTCTCTCCCTTTCTCGACGCGGGTCACTTGAAACGCACGCTCGACGCTCTCGATAATAACGCGCGCGTTTGATATTCGGCAATCGAAACGGTATTGAAACGCGAAGGCCCGCGGAAAACGGTAACGTCAGGCGGTTCACCGTGTGTGTCTAAAGGAGGATAATGGCCGGGAATTTATTTTAATACATCAAAGGGATATTGGAGCTCGATCGAGACGAGAGAGAGAGAGAGAGCTGTTTTGTTTTAGTACGTTGGAGGAACAGCGGCTGCTGTGTGCGCGCCGATAAAGAAGCGGTTTTATTATATTACGTAAACAAATTTTCCTTTCCGTTCGCGACGGTTTGTCTCTTCCGCCCCCTTTATCGCGGTTTTTCTTTTTATCGGAATCGTTGCAGAAAGCGCGTTCGTCGCTTCTCGTCTTCCGCGCCGGGAGTGGATCCCCGCGTCCGTGTTGAACAATTCCTCTCGGTTGCGATTTACGTTTTCGTCTCGTTTCTGCCGGCGTTGTTCCCTCGAAATCGGTGGCCGTGTATAAACGTTAATGAAAACTGCGCGTTTAATATATCTTCGGCCCCGCGTCACTTTATCGCCCAGTCATGATGGATGTTGCGAGACGCGTCCTTCTCTCTCTCTCTCTCTCTCTCTCCCCCTCTCGTAAGAATATTCAATTTCCAGCAATATCAATGCCAGCATTGTCGAGAAGTGGCCCGCCCCCTCCTTCCCTCCCGGCCCGTCCCCACCAGCGATATGGTACGCGTGGAGTTGATGATGCAGTTGTATGTAATGAGGTCATTCCTCTGAATCGAGTTCGTGCGCGAGTATAGTAGGAAGGTGACGTATTGCGAATCGAATGGAGTAACTTTGTAGCCGGTGGTTTCAATTTCAGCGGCAAAGTGCCGCCGGCTCTGTTAGCGATTGCCCGCTGGCTGTTGTGCGATTTTTTTCTTCCCCCTTTTTTGCATTCCGACATTCCGATATTCACTTTGTCGTGCCTTTTTCTGCGAAAGGGAAAAAAAGGTCACCGGCGATTTCGCGCATGGTGCTCACGGCAAAAAATCGGTTCGTATCTTTGAGAGAAGGAGGGGAGGAGGAGGAGAAGTGGGGAGAGAGAGAAGATAGACTGGCTTGCGACTAAACTGGACACACAAGTGTGCAGTGTGTTCGATCTCGTGGCGCAAATAATACCTCGTCTTGCTCGTTTTCGTTCGCTTTATTTTACCGCCTAATTATATTCTCAAGCGAATAAGCGTGTAAATATTCCGTAATTATCAAAGCTGCGGTACACATTATTTAGTGTTGTATCCGATTAACGATCTTTTTAATCATTTTGCGCAATTAACGTCGTTTATCGATACAAAACACGATCCGCCGACTTTCTTGCACGTCACATCTTTAGCAGTTTTAATTTCGAGAATGTTTCTTCTCACTTTCTTCTCGTTGTGATTTTTCTCACCGCGTGCTCGAGCGCTGCGCCGACGATCGCACGTTTTCAGTCGGTCGGGGGATCAGAAATTCGACACGCGCGATGAAATCAAAACCATACGTTAATTGGGCGAAAATTGCCGGCGAGAGAAAACGAAGACCGGACCGGCGGAGGGGAGGGGGATGGGCGAGAGAAAGGGCGAGAGGGCTCGTAAGAAAGGATGGTCGGTGTGCGTGTGTATGTGTGTGTATACGCGGCAGGGGGTAAAGGGCAGTGGGGAGCGGGGGGTTACGCTCGGAGTTTGACACAGTCAGAGACCGGCGTTGCCTGGCAACCTCTAAGGGTGGAAACTCACATTGGCGTAGGGTATACTTGCGACGAATTTATGTGCCATTACGATGCCTCATCCCACGCGGGAGAACACGTGGAAAAACGCGTGAATGAACCCGACGGTATAATCGACGGCTCCGTCGATGAATACAACGAAATTGACTATTTATTCTCATGACTCTCTAATGATGCCTGTATTGTCGCTCTTGCGATACTCGCTCTCGGTGCGCTGCTGATCGCGGAGACGGCAATCTTCGCTGATGAAGTGGCCGGGAACGCACTCGAGTTATTTTGTGTCGCCCTTTCGGAGGCGCTCGTACATCTGAAATTGAACTAAATAACTTTATTTGGACTTGACGTCGCGACAGATTTGATGTGGATTGTGTCTGCGGGACATCTCGTTGGATAATCGCCACCGAGACGAGCCAATGACAAACGGCTCGTTAGCCTCCCTTTTCTCTTTGTGTTTACGAGGGTTATTTATTTAATATTATGATTCAAATATTACCCCGCAGAGAAGGAAATCATCGGCTTTCATCCCCGTCCATCGTCAAATTAATCTTACCAGTTGTGTTATATTATTTTGTTGTTCGATTACTCCAATTGGCAATCAAATGCGCTCTCGGGTTGAACAGATCGTGAAGGGCGCGTTTTTTACTTTACACAGAGAGAGAGGTTTATTCGGATTTAATATATGTGTTTGTTTGAGTTTGTTTAATATAAATTTAATATCAAATATTATTTGGTTTGAATGAAAACGTTGTTGTTTTACTAGAGTATGTTGTTCGTTAGGGAAAACATTTAGATTACTTAGAGAAAATGTAGTGTTTCTTTTTCAATATGAAACATAATTTATGTCATTATGTATTAAATATTGTCCCACTGAAACAAAAAGAAGTTTTTTAGTATTTTTCTAACATAGCGTGTTGCTTCTTTGAAATCATTTATTGCTTGTAACGACCATTGTGATGTTTGGGTAAAAATATAAAATAATTACGTCATATTTTACGTATACATATATATTATATTGTTTGAGAAATAAAGTCTTGTTTGGTTTGCTCCATTCCAAAAGAGAAATTGTTGTTGCAATCAAAGCAATTTTACTTTAAATTCAAAGAAATCTTTTCCACTGTGTTTCCCATACTCCCACCACCGATTCTACGCCGGTGGGGGATCCACGGGGTGCACCCCGTGGCAAATTCTATGGTAAACGTAGTATACCATGGGAAATCGATATATAGACAAAAGTCCCACGGTGGCTTCCTCTTTCAGTCCGCCAGCGCGGGGGCATTTTTAATCCGTCGTCGTCACCGTCGTCGCCACTGCCGCCGCCGTCGTCGTCGACGTTCCACTTCGTTCCCACGCATAATCGACGCGACGTTACCTTCGCCCCGCCACGGCTTTTTCCGGATATCACGCTGAAATACCGCGTGGCGGTGCTCTTCGCGAGACGGAACTCGCTTTTCGAGTCGCGTATTCATAAATCACTCCGCAAATCACACGCGAGACTCGCGCGCCGACTTACGTGTTCTTCAATTATTTCAGCGGACCCTCGTTACCACCCTAGCGGCAGCGGACGGCAGCGACGACGGCTCTTGCAACTTGTTGCGTTCAATTTCGTCGTAAAGCAGAAATTGCGTGTCCGCGAATAATCCTTTAGATTACGGGTCTATACCCGGGTAATATGCTGGGGGAGTTGCCTGATAATTTTACGGGGTCGTCGCATGCGACCGAGGTGGCGCGATATCCGGGTATATTGTGCCGGCGAATCTTTGTCCCGGGGCATTAAATTTTCGCCGGTTAAACGAACGGTTAACGAGACGTCAATTAACACCCGCGACTGGGCCGATCGGCCACCTCGACTCCGCTGACTTGGTGACTTCATTTCGCATGGGCGAAAATTTCTGTTTCCAGTCGAGTGATTCTGGAGGATTTCGCCTACGCCGAAGGTCACCCCAGGCAATCGCAATGGCCACGCTGTCCTTGCGCATCTCCATACCGGAGAAGAATGCCACCAAGATGATGCAGTTTGACCCCAGCACGTCGGTCTACGATGCCTGCCGCATTATCAGAGAGAAACTCGCCGAAGCCAGCAACATGGGTCAACGTGAGTGCTTCGGTGTTGCTTGTATCGGGCTTGTCGCGATTTGCACGGAAAAAGAAATTAGTGTTAATTCAAGACTCATATTCTTATATATAAGAATGTATAATCTTATTTATAGAATAAAATTATATATATTATTAAATAATAATAAATTATATATATGTAATTATATATATTCGAATTAAGAATTGTGTCAATTTGAAGATATCGTTCTTTTTATCAAATATTTTTTTCTCGCAATTTATAAAAATTATTCCTGAATAACAAGAATATGACATTTTTAGTGGAACTGTATTGAATTTCTTCGTGTAAATAAGTTTTATCCTCATCCATAAGCTATTCTTGCTTATGTATGAAAATATGAGTTTTAAATTGATACTAGTTTTTTTTTCCTTGTCAAATTGTCGAAATAAAAGATTTTGTTTTTAGAGAGAGGCTTCCCCTCTTGCGAAACAGTAACGAAACAGTAAACGGTACATTTAACGTTTAGTTTAAAATATCTGCTATTGTTATCTATCGATCTCTGCAACCACCCAGATTGTCTAATTCTGTGTCTGCAAAATGAGCGATCCTCGAGCTTCCTAAATAAAAGCTTAATAAAATTATGCGACGAACAAACTCCTAATAACATTCATCCATAGAAAGATATATGAATTCTTTTTCTAAATCTTTAATGGTCGATGGTTTTTTTCTTTTCCTGTTAATCGATAATTCATTTTTTATATCAAGCAATTTCTTTCCTCTTTAACCGATAATTAATTTTTCTTTCATATTAAGCGCGCACATACTAAATATGAAATTCACAATGATCGTGTCAAGCCGTAAAGACGCCTCATTCACGTTATTATTCCCTGTAGCAAAAGACTACGGTCTCTTTCTCTCTGATGAGGACGTGAAGAAGGGAGTTTGGCTGGAGCCCGGGCGAAACCTTGACTATTACATCCTGAGGAATGGCGATCTGCTCGAGTACCGTCGTAAGCTCCGTACGCTCCGAGTTCGCATGTTGGATGGAACCTTGAAGACCATGCTGGTGGATGATAGCCAGCCTGTGGCAAATCTCATGGTGGTGATATGTACAAAGATTGGCATCACGAATCACGACGAATATTCCTTGGTGCGCGAGCTCGTAGACGAGGAGGCCGAGAATCAGAAACCCGGCAATTTCGGCACTCTTACGTTGAAACGGAGGAAAGAGGAGAAGGGCGAGAGGGACGCCAAGATGGATCAGTTGAGGAAGAAACTGAAGACCGACGATGAAGGTGAACAGATGTGACTGCTGTTTTTCAATTCGTGAAAATTCCATAGATTCGATTTAATGAGGAAAATTACCGACGTTGTGTCGTTCGTTTCACAGTGAATTGGATAGATCCCAGTAAGACCCTGCGCGAGCAAGGCATCGACGAGTCCGAGACCGTGTTGCTGCGGAGGAAATTCTTCTTCTCGGATCAGAACATCGACAGCCGCGACCCCGTTCAGCTGTCGTTGTTATACGTGCAAGCGCGAGACGCGATTCTGGATGGTACGCATCCGATTACGCAGGAAAAGGCTTGCGTCTTCGCCGGGATCCAGTGTCAGATTCAGTTCGGCGATCACAAGGAGGAGAAGCACAAGCCGGGTTTCTTGGAGTAAGTAGCAATTCGAGCCCACCGTCCCCGCGCGCACACACGATCCCCCGCCGACCCTGACGTATCCGCTGAACACTCCTCCCTTTCTTCGCAGCCTCAAGGAGTTCCTGCCGCAATCTTATGTGAAGACGAAAGGGATCGAGAAGAAGGTATTCGCGGAGCATAAGAAGCACATCGGCCTGTCGGAGCTGGAAGCCAAAGTCCTGTACACGAAGACCGCCCGGTCGCTCAACACGTACGGCGTCACGTTCTTCTTGGTGAAGGAGAAGATGAAGGGCAAGAACAAGCTGGTGCCGCGTCTGCTAGGCGTGACGAAGGACTCGGTCCTGCGGCTCGACGAGAAGACCAAGGAGATCCTGAAGACGTGGCCGTTGACGACCGTGCGCCGCTGGGGCGCCTCCCCGAACACCTTCACCCTCGACTTCGGCGACTATTCTGACCAGTATTACAGCGTGCAGACCACTGAGGCGGAACAGATCCTTCAGCTGATCGCCGGCTACATCGACATCATCCTGAAGAAGCAGAAAGCAAAGGACCACTTCGGCATCGAGGGAGACGAAGGCTCCACCATGGTGGAGGACAGCGTGTCGCCTCTCAAGTGAGTCTTCTTCGCGTCCCCGGCGCGCACGTTGCTCGCTTCGCGAGATGATAATCGCCGCGTTAGAGCAATTATCGGCTCGCGACGAGTCAGCCTCGGACGGCTGCCGCGAGAGCTGCCGAGCTTTATTCAACGCGCGTGTTATGTGCCGCGAGAATATTCTCGCGGCAGTCCGCCGCTATCATGGAGGAGTTTATAAAGCGCCACGCGAACAAGAACGTTCGTGCCGATTCTAACCGGTGAGATCGCTCTCGCCGAGATCGATCGTAGCTCGCGGTATTCCACCTGGGATTTTAATTCGCGCGTTTCGTTCTCTCGACAGGGCCACCATCATGCAGCACGAGACCAGCAATGTTGGTAAAGGAAACGTGGAAGCTGTCTCGGTTGCGATACCAGCTGTCATGAGAGCCGGAGGAGACGGTGAGCGTCTGGAAATGTTATCCTCTTTATTCTTTATATCTTATTTTTTTATTATTCACAACGAAGATGTTTATAACGAGCATTACGTGAATGAGATGTATGTGTACAAAAGGTGTACAGTTTCTTTCTTCCGGAAATTCCGCGGAATTCTTGCCGACCGTTACTTCAATGGCCGTTTCAGCTTTCGGAAACTGATTAATTTTCCAAACCAAAGGTTACATATCTCGCTTGAGACTTTCAAACAGCTTAGGTTACATCCCGAAACACCGCCTCTGCTTTTATACTCGATATGCTCAGAGCAAGAGAGAAAGGAGAGAGAGAGAGAGAGAGAGAGAGAAAAAGATCAATTAGCGATCCTTTGCACGATTGAATCCTCGGATCCTGGCTGTTGGTCGATGTTACTGTACATAATATACGTACACACACTTTTCTGTAAATACACGTTTGTTTCTTCGCTTCGAGCGTTCGTGAAAGTGTCGCTTACGACGAGGTTGATCGATTGAAAAAAGAAAAAGGAAAAAAGAAACATGTAAAGTTCAGCTTTTCTCTCAGCGTGTAAAGCGGCGAGTCGTTCTCCGTCGTGCGCAAACCGATTCACGGGTATCGAGGACTCGATCGGGACTCGATCGGTAGTTGTAAATAGTGCCCGGCAGTTTTAGATTAGAGCGCATGGTGTGTGATTTGTAGGGGCCCGGCCATACGGAACCGGCCACGTAGGCGGTGCCCAGTACACGACCGTCAGCGGCCAGGTGAACATCGCACACGCTCCGCCTATGGTAAGCTCCGTTGAGAAGCGCTGCCAAGCTGCCGCTCACCTTAGATGTCGGTGTTTTTTAGTTGCTTGTTATAAATACATATGCGTGGCTCTGCCGAGACCACCACTACCACGCGTGTTGTGAACCGATTCATGTTACTATGCCACGCGCACATTCAGCGTCATTCGGCACGGTCGATCGCACCCTTTGAATGAATGAATGTCTAAGATCTCACTGAGAATGAACAAAATCAAATTTGTATTGCACGCTAGAGCGAGAGACTTTAAGGGACTAATAGACGGTTAAATTTATTTTCATGCTAGGCGCCTTCTATTGCGGACACAGAGTAGGTACACTACGATAACATTTTCAGTTAACCTCTTTATCCTTCGGTTGATGAATAATGTGTTCTTTTTTTTTCTCTTTGGGTTTTATTTATTTAATTACTTACTTACGGTTCGACTCGTTTGCGTTTCGCGCTCCTCCGATCGACTCATACCTGCGTTACGGTACAGTACACTTACCGGTGGGCAGGAAAAAATAAGACACAGGGTTGGGAAAGGCGCTCTTTCCAAAAGCGACTTACCGTAATCGTTATCCGAGAGACAACGGGATTTTCGTTGTTCCTTCCGCCCAATTCTGGACACACTTTTTCTTGCGACTCGCCCACTTTGGGTACATGTGTTCTACGTGCACAAAGCAACGAGGGAAGTAACGATTATATTCGTTACTGTTGCCGGAAAAAATGCAATTGTACCGTCACCGTTGCTAATGAATCAGGGAAAACCATGTCCTTATTGAAAAAGGTAACTTTCTATGGTTGCTACAACAGCGTTACAAGTAACGCGTTACTTCCCTGCCCTGGAAAAAAGTCTCTGTACCGTCGCACGTTTGCAGTTTTGATTCGGTTTCCCGTGACGCGACGGAACGGTCGTTCGCGCTCAGAAAAAATAATTAGTACCAGTTCGAGACTCGTATGCTCATATATAAGCAAAAATATGTAATCTTATATGAAGATAAAACTTGCTTTTATAGGAATATGTGAACACGAAGAAATTCTATTATAGGTTCCATTAAAAATACATCTATATTATTCAAGAGTAATTATCATGAATTTAGAGGAAATAGTATTGGAGGATATCTCCAAACTAAAAACTTCAGTTTGAAAATATCGTTCTTTCTGCCTTGAATAATTTCAAATTTTACAGTTTTGATGACTCCGATGGAAAGTAAATTGTCAATATAAGACTATTAGGAGCTAAGTACGTTTCAGTGCCGTTCAATATTAATAATGTTATATTATTAATATAATTGTACCGAGACCGTATTTTTCGCAACATAATAAATAGAGTCATTAAGTTGCTCACTAATTTAGTTAACAATTGGATAGGAATTTTCACGGGATTTAAATTAATAACGAATATTACTGGGACTCAAGACTCATACGTGGAAGGTTGTGGCAGCGTTTCGTTTGTCCGAGAAAATTCAATATTTTTCGCGCACACGGACAATTTCACCTTCTCATAATTATATTAATAATATAACATTATTAATACTTAATGGCACTAGAATATTCGTGCTTGGCTCCTAATGGTCATATACTGAATACTTTTTCTCCCGATTTCTAAAAATTATTCTTGAATAACAAGTATATGATCTTTTTACATGGGACTACATAGAATTTCTTCGTGTATGAGCAAGTTTGATCTTCGTGGAAGATTACATATTCTCGCTTATGCATGAGAAGATACGGGCCTTGAATTGACGCTAATCTTTTTTCCGTGCGCTCAGCTCGGCCGATCGATCGGCAAACGTCCGTATCAGCGCAACTATTGGTCGCAGTTCGCAGCTTCGTCATGTATACGCGCATATATATATATATATATANTATATATATATATATATATATATATATATATATATATATATATATATATATATATATATATATATATATATATATTCCCGTTTACGTTCGTTCTCGTTGAACGCCCGTGAGCCAAACTGAGTCGCATTTTCGTTTGAGCAGAAAGAGAAAAAGAGAGGAAGATAGAGAGAGAGAGAGAGAGAGAGAGAGAGAGAGAGAGAAAGAGAATGTATCGTTTTCCACGCGTCATCTCCAATCACGTTCGCTCTCCCTTTTTAACGCACGATTGTTCACGAACCAGGTCCAGCAAACCAAAGTGACATCCGTCCTGTCTGAACCGCAACGTGCCTTATTGTCGACCATCACCGCCGGCCACGAGGTGATCCACATCGCGGAGACCGAGCTCTCGACGAAGGCCCAGATACCCCAGCTCGGCACCGACCCGGCGTCCTTGAGATGGATCGAGCAGACCATCGACACCCACAAGCAGAACGTGGGCTCGCAGATTGCGGCGATGAACGCCGCGACCGCCCAGGTGGTCACGCTGACCTCGGGCCCGGCGGACAACGTGGACCACACCGCGGTGGGAGCGGCGATCACGACGATCGCCACGAACCTACCGGAGATGACGAAGGGCGTGAGAATGATAGCCGCCCTCATGGATGACGAGTCGTCCGGCGAACGACTGTTGGACGCCGCCAGGAAACTCTGCACGGCCTTCTCGGACCTGCTGAAAGCCACGGAGCCGGAGACCAAAGAGGTGAGTGCGATCGGTCGCGCAGACGAGTCTCCGAGAGATCTCGCGTACACTCGGACACGTACATTCCCGCGCTCTCGTGATGCCACGTGTGTCGTTTGTCTCAAAGTCTCCTCTTTCTCCGCAGCCTTTCTACATTACCTCCACGCTCTACGGACAATATGTAAGCACTAATATCTCAGCTTCGTAGCGTAGACACGGACGAGTTAGATATCCGCTTTCACACCCACGTTCGTTTCTCTCTTTTCTTTTTACCTTGGAAACACCTGATCTTGCAAACGCAACTGATGCCTCAGGAAATTCATTTTACTAGACCGTTACCTTGGTAAACGAAGTAGAATGGTCTGGACTTCGATAAGATTAAAACTTGTTATTACAGGTGTAGGAATTAATGTAGGAATTAATCGAATACCAAATTCTTTTGCAGGCTGTGATAAAAATATATTTGAAATAAATTTAAAAAACTATTATATAGATATAAGAAATATGGAACTGCTGCTGCATATCCGATCCATCCTGCGGTATATATTGTAGCTTTTGCGGGGATTGTGAGTGGATCCAATTGACATTCTCTTGAGATAAACAGGACGCTATGTTTTGAAAGCTTTCCTCTCTGTAGATTAGACAAAAAAAAATATTCAGTAAAAATGAACAAAATGTCAACAGAAAGAAAAGCATTGCAAGATCAACGTGCTTTTTATTGCAACAGAATTTAAATAAACAATAACTTTTAATATAGTTTAGTTACGATCCGCAGCAAATCTACCAGCTGTTACACCTGTGCGTTACACAATGGCTGCGCTCAGCAAAGAAAAGAGCTCAGTGCTTATTGCCTATGATTGGAACATTCTTTTAGATCCTTTATAAATCCAAGCAAATGTAGCAATCAGGATCAACAATTATTAAGCGTTCACTAAGCTACTTTATACACTTTTGAGAATCGTGTAAAGCCCGCGTGGAGACTACGGATTAAAATTGAGATTTGATTGAAATTTCACCAATCAGAGTAGAGTTCACTAAACTCAAGTTTAATAATTCAGCGTTCAGTCAACTTGAGTTTAGCGTATTTTGCTTCGATCAGTCAAATCTCCATCCTGATCTCAATCCGACTTCGCAGTCCGATACGGAAATGCTCAATTAGTTTACTTGGTACGTTTTATATGTGCGCGAACATGCACGGTATCGAGCGTGTCACGAACATTCGATTTCTTCCGACACCCGCTGTAATCGTCGTTCTCGTTCCAGCCCCGGCAGAATCTGCTGAACGCGGCGTCTCGCGTGGGCGAGGCTTCGCACCAGGTGTTGACCACCATCGGCGAAGAGGACGACTCGAATCGCGAGCTGCAGGACATGCTGCTGGCGCTCGCCAAGGCCGTGGCCAACACCACCGCGGCGCTGGTGCTGAAAGCGAAGAACATAGCGGCGACGTGCGAGGACTCGGCCACGCAGAACCGAGTGATATCGGCGGCGACGCAGTGCGCGCTGGCCACGTCGCAGCTGGTCGCGTGCGCGAAGGTGGTAGCGCCGACCATGCACTCGCCCGCCTGTCAGACCCAGCTGATGAACGCCGTGCGCGAGGTGACCCGTGCGGTCGAGAGCCTGGTCCAGGTCTGCAACGAGACCTGCAGCGACGAGAACCTGCTGAAGGAGCTGAGCGTCGCCGCGGCCGAGGTCAGCCGCACCCTCAACGACCTTCTCAATCACATCAAGACGGCGACTAAGGGCGAACGGGCGAAGGAATCGGTCCAGGAGGGAGCGGTGGAGACTATCCTGGTGGCGACGGACAAGCTGTTCGCGAGCACCGGCGACGCCGGCGAGATGGTGCGTCAGGCGAGAGTAGTCGGCCAGGCTACCGCCCAGCTGATCCAGAGCATCAAGGGCGAGGCCGAGAAGCAGACGGACTCGGAGCAGCAGCAGCGTCTGCTGGCGGCGGCGAAGCTGCTGGCCGACGCTACTGCCAAGATGGTGGAGGCGGCGCGGCAGTGCGCGAGCAGTCCGCACGACGCCAAGATGCAGGATCGGCTGCGCCAGGCGGCCGAGGAGCTGCGGGCCGCGACCACCGCGGCGGCCACACCGGCCTTGCGCCGGAAGCTCATCACCCGGCTGGAGGCGTGCGCGAAGCAGGCGGCGGCGACCGCGACCCAGTGCATCGCGGCCGCCTCCGGCGCCGCCCACCACAACACCAACCCGGCCAGCCAAGAGGAGCTCAACGCGGAGTGTCGCACGATGGCCCAGCACATCTCGCACCTTGTGTCCGGCGTGAAAGGCACCCAGGCCTTACCGGACGTGCCTACGGCGCAGTTGAACCTGATCAACGCCTCCGAGCAGTTCCTGCAGCCGGGCACCGCGGTGATGAAGGCCGCCAGGGCTGTCTTGCCGACGGTGACCGACCAGGCGTCCGCGATGCAACTCAACGACTCCTCCCAGCAGTTGGGCTCCTCGTTGGCGGACCTGAGGTCCGCGGTGACGCGCGCCAGGGAAGCCTGCGGCGGCTTGGAGCTCGACGCGGCGGAGGAGCTGATTAACAGCCTGAAGGACGAGCTGGGTGAGTTCTATCGCGCCGTCGAGGCCGCCTCGTTGAGACCGCTGCCCGAGGAGACGACGGAGTCGACCGCGCTGCGACTCGGCGCCACGTCCAAGAACGTCGGATTCGCGATGGCGCAGCTGCTGTCCGCCGCCAAGCAGGGCAACGAGAACTACACCGGCAGCGCCGCCAGGGAGACCGCCTCGGCGCTGAAGGACCTCACCTACGCGGTCCGCGGCGTAGCGGCGACGTCCGACCAGCCGGAGACGCAGAAGAAGGTGCTGATGACGGCGGACGACGTGATCCTGCGATCTCTGCATCTGGTCAAGGAGGCGCGACGCGTGCTCAAGAATCCGGAGAATCCCGAGAACGAGGCCAACCTGGCCGCCGTCGCCAAGGACGTGTCCAATTCGTTGAACAAGTGCGTCTCTTGTCTACCCGGTCAGAGGGACGTCGACGAGGCCATACGCAGCATAGACGACATGACGCAGGTGCTCGGCATGAACGAGTTCCCGCACACGAACAAGAACTACGGGTAAGTGACCTCTTCTACGAACGGAAGTCACGTGCGCCGGGAGAAACGCGGGGCAAACAGCGGGATGGGACACGCGCTTTTCAGAGTTTTCTAGGCGACTAATCGTTCATACTCGTGATCGTCCGTCCGCGTGCTCGATCTCAGTAATTTTATCAGTGAGAAGTTTCCTTCTAGAGACGAATTAACCTCCCTTTTGACTAATCGATTCTTTCCTTGTGCAAATTTTATAATATCGCGTGAAATGGCATGCCACGCAGGAAAGTTTGTCCCAACTTTGACAACACGTCGCTCGAGACTCCCGTTTCCCCGTCTCAGCCATCTCGATTAATGGCATCGGAAGCAAGAAAACATCTATCCGAAATTCGTGCTGAATACATTGTACAAATAAAAGGATACGTCTGTGAAATGATACTTGTGTGATTTACAGTTGTAAAATATTTGCAAAGGTTTAGTTTACTTTAATCATCAATAAGTTGAATTAACGCGGCAGAATCATGAAAAAAAGCTAAGAAGGAAGGTTGAATTTTATGTTAATTTCACGGTTATTTATTGATTGTTAGAACAAAAGGAAAGTTTTCGGAATATTTTATAATTTATCTGACCGATCGATCATAAGTGTCTCATTTTATGAATATATTCTTTTATTTCAACGTATTTCGCAGAAGAATTTTAGGCATGCTTTTTCTCGTTTTCTGACGTCATTAAATAGGACGACTGCATCGAGGAGCCAGGAGCCTTAAATTTACTTATTTATTTATTTATTTCGCGATGGAGAATATCGACAGGAAGTTTCGAGTCGTTGAAAAATTTACTTCGCTGCTTCCAAGTCAGACAATTTTTCTCCTTCAGCCGCGATATTTTCCGTCTTTAATGAAACTCAAGGGAGAAGTATCTACATGCTTCACAAGGAACACCTTGCGATTCCTCCTCCAATATTTTCCCTCAAAATAAATATATAAACGTAATTTATGGCCCAATCGGTTATCCCTACTTTTTGCTCGTACTTGTTCCAGTTTTTTTCTTTTTGTTTTCACATTATATCTCTCACGTACCTTCTTATCGCTTCTTGAACTACGTTCGTGTATCGGGAATAATTGGCATACAGTAGATACGAGTACATATAATTTCAGCGTCGTACGCTTCGCACAATGGCGGGTGATGATTTTTCGGAGCCTGATGCTAATATCATTTCAAGAACCCCATAAGGGAATGGCCATACTTGAAAACTTGATCGATAGAATACTGATTTTTTCTGCAAAGTTCGCGTCTTATGGTTGCACGAAATTATAAATATTTCTTACACGTTGAGAAAGCACGCGCGAAAATAAATCGAAGCCTTGTTCAGTACGTGGCGAAAATAATTAACCCTTTGCACTCGAGGGCTCCGGAGCGGAGCCATTTAAAATTTGTCTTCAAACTCGAGGGCTCCGCTATGGAGACAATGCAAATAACTTTCAGTTCGTAACACAAGGACAAAGACAAATCTTAAAAATTATTGTGTATAGGATATTCCGCTCTTGCTATTTGCATTTGAGTTTGAAGAGTTTGAAGACAAATTTTCAATGGCTCCGCTCCGGAGCCCTCGAGTGCAAAGGGTTAAGAATTTTTAAGTGACATCTCTTGTTGTCGGTTAGCGTAAATATTTATCTGCCACAGAAATTCTGCAGCTTGTCGAACGTGTCGATGCTTCAATCGGGAAAACTTCAAAGAACATTTTTGTATCTTTTCGGTGAAATTCACGAGCCATAAAAGATACGAAAAATTTGCAAAAAAGTTTCTATATATCTTGATTAGATTTTCTGTTAGATGTGGTACTCATCGCATTCATATTAGGACTTTTTTCATCGAACTAGGCTTACAGAAACTTAAAAAGAGATACACAATTGAGACTCGATGAAAGAAAGATGAAAAGAGAATTGGTACTAGTTAGTGCAACCAGTTCAGTAAGAAAGAACAGACCTATGTATATCGCACTCACACTTACGTAAAATCTCCAAGCGCAAGAATTGCAAAAAAGGTAGTGTCGCGATCGTGTCGGTGCTTATGTAACGTAACATTCTGTGGGCCGTTTCTCCATTATCGACGCTTGCCAAGTTCTCCATCGACTTTGGCATCCCCTCAGTTTCCGAGTAAACGAGAAGCTTACGGTGTTGAGGAAAAAGGGCTTTCGAATGAATGAAAAGAACTACCGGAACTTTCCGACGGGGGCCCTCTGACCCACCTCTCACCAGCCCCCTTATAAATCCGCCACTGACGCTTCTGCTGCTTCACAGGCAGCTGCAGAACGACCTGAACAACGCGGCGGCCAATCTGAACGACGCCTCCTCGAGCATAGTGTCGTCGGTGCGCTCGCCCGTGCAGCTGGCGAGCTCGTCGAAACAGTTCACCAATGCCTTCGGGGACCTGCTGGGCGTGGGCATGGAGATGGCGGGCCAGACGGCGGTGGAGACGCGCAGCCAGGTGGTCGTGTCGTTGAAGAACGTCAGCATGACGTCCGGCAAGCTCCTCGTAGCCGCGAAGTCGGTCGCGGCGGACCCGACCGCCCCGAACGCCAAGAACCAGCTGTCGGCGGCGGCGCGCGCCGTCACCGACTCCATCAACTACCTGGTGGACGTGTGCACGTCGGCGGCGCCGGGGCAGAACGAGTGCGACAACGCCATCAGGAACATCCAGTCGATGCGATCGCTGCTGGACAATCCGTACGAGCCGATCTCCGACGCCTCGTACTTCGAATGCCTGGAGAGCGTGATGGAGAAGAGCAAGAGCCTGGGCGACGGTATGACCGGTATCGCGAATCACGCGAAGAAGTCGGAGCACGAGCAGTTCTCGGTCGCCGTCCGTGGGGTGTCCTCGTCGATCTGCGGCCTGATAGAAGCCGCGGCTCAAGCGGCCTACCTCGCCGGGGTGAGCGACCCGACGTCCGTGGCGGGTAAACCCGGCCTGGTGGACCAGGCGCAGTTCTTCCGGGCGGCTCAGGCGATACACACCGGCTGCCAGAGCCTCGGCAACCCGACGAGCACGCAGCAGCAGGTCCTCTCAGCCGCCACCATGATCGCGAAGCACACCAGCGCCCTGTGCAACGCCTGCAGGGTCGCCTCCAGCAAGACCAGCAACCCGGTGGCGAAGCGGCACTTCGTCCAGTCGGCCAAGGACGTCGCCAACTCGACCGCGTGCCTCGTGAAGGAGATCAAGGCGCTCGACCAGAATTACTCGGACGCCAATCGCGAGAAGTGCGCGGAGGCGACGAAGCCGCTGCTGGAGGCGGTCGACAACCTCTGCACCTTCGCGAGCTCGCCGGAGTTCGCGAGCCAGCCGGCCAAGATATCGATCGCGGCCAGGGCGGCGCAGGAGCCGATCACCAGCGCCGGGAAGTCCATCATCGACGGCTCGTGCGCCATGGTGCTGGCGGCGAAGAGCCTGGCGGTCAGCCCGAAGGATCCGCCGACTTGGCAGCTGCTGGCCAATCACAGCAAGAGCGTGAGCGACTCGATCAAGTCGCTGGTGGCGTCGATACGCGACAAAGCGCCCGGACAGAAGGAGTGCGACGCCGCGATCGAGAAGCTGTCGGCCCGCATCCGCGAGTTGGACGCCGCGTCCCTCAGCGCCGTCTCGCAGGCGTTGGTGCCGCGGCGCGAGAACACCATGCAGGGCTTCACCGACCAGATGGAGAGCAGCGCGAGCGAGCTGCGCGAGAAGCTGGAGCCGTTGCGCACGGCCGCGAAGTACGAGGCGGAGAACGTGGGCCACGCGGTCAGCCAGATCGCCCTCTACTCGGAACCGCTCGTCTCCGGCGCCGTAGGCGCCGCCTCCAACATGGTGCACTCGAAGCAGCAAATGGTGCTGCTGGACCAGACGAAGACCGTCGCCGAGTCCGCCCTGCAGCTGATCTACGTCGCCAAGGAGTCCGGCGGCAATCCGAAGGCCATCGCCCTGCACTCGGAGGTGGACGAGACCGTCGAGTCCACCAAGGACGCGCTTCAGGAACTGCAGAACACGCTGGAGACCATATCGACGTCGCACGGCATCGTCACCGGCCTCATCGACACCATTTCGCGCGCGATGGTCCGACTGGAGGACCACCGCATGTCCACCATCGACACCGTCGACTCGTACGTCGACTACCAGACCAGGATGGTCGAGGCCGCGAAGGAGATCGCTCGGTTGGCGCAAGAAATGGTAAGGCGCTTGATAAAACATCTTTCTTTCTGGAAGATATTCAACGTTCAAGTGGTTACCGGCCTGTGCCCTTTTTTACTTACAGTCGACCAAGTCCAGCACCGACGTTGCCAGACTGGGCCCGCTGGCGGTCGACATCAGCCACAAGTACACGCAGCTCGCCCGCGACACCTCCGGCGCGTCCGCGGCGGCCTCGAACGCCGACGTGTCGGCGCGGCTACGGACCGGCGTTCAGGAGCTCGGCCGTGCGTGCGCCGACATAGTACGCACCGCCGGCATCTGCCAGATGTCGCCCGGTGACGTGTACGCGCAGCGTGAGGTCGCCGAGCAGAGCAAGATCGTGACGGAGAAGGTGTCGCAGGTGTTGGCTGCCTTGCAAGCTGGCTCACGCGGCACCCAGGCGTGCATCAACGCGGCCAGCACGGTGTCCGGCATCATCGGCGACCTCGATACCACCATCATGTTCGCCACCGCCGGCACCCTGCACGCCGAGAACGAGGGCGACACGTTCGCCGACCACCGTGAGAACATACTGAAGACCGCCAAGGCCCTGGTGGAGGACACCAAGACCTTGGTCGCTGGCGCCGCGTCGTCGCAGGAACAGCTGGCTGTGGCGGCGCAGAATGCCGTCTCCACCATCGTCCAACTCGCCGAAGTGGTCAAGTACGGTGCGGCCAGTCTGGGCAGTCAGAATCCGGAGGCGCAGGTGATGCTGATCAACGCGGTGAAGGACGTCGCTTCGGCGCTGGGCGACCTCATACACGCCACCAAGGCCGCCAGCGGCAAGCCCATCAACGACCCCAGCATGGCACACCTTAAGGATTCCGCCAAGGTAACCTTGCTCGTGCGAAAGTCGCCTCTCGCTTTGCTCACACGCTCACACTCCTCGTTAATGTGTGTACGCGTACCAGCCGGTATTCACAATCAGATTTTATATTTAACGTCACATCCTGAGCTCCTCCTCCGATGCTTCCTAGCCAACCCGAGGCAATTTTAAATATAAAACTCGACTATGAATATCAGCCATACCACCACACATGTGTGCTCTAACAACGAGAATGGAGCGGATTATACTCGTGCGCTTACGTTGCCCGCTTGAGAGATTAACCCCGGCCGACGCTTGATTGGAAGGAACTCGTTGTTTACGGCGCGACGCCACCCGAATGGATCTTTATTGCGAATACGTGGAATAATATTGGGCCGGGCGACATTAACTCTCGCCGGTGGCTGGCCAGCCAGCCAGCCAACTAGCCGAAATAACCATAGAATCGAAAGCCGATGAGACATCCCGCGAATACGGATGAGGCACCCCGATGAGCGGATCCCGGCCGGGTCTTCAACGAATCCCCGGCGATCGATTAACGCACCGAACTCCAATAATGTCGTTTCAGGCGTAACAGTAGAGAACCACCCACCCACCCCGCACCCTGCGATCGGAGGCGTTCGTCTCGGCTGAATTTCAATCTGACCACCCCCGGAGACTAATGAAGCGTTGTTTTTTTGGTGTTGCGCTCCCCCCCCCTCCCCTCCTAATCGATTAACCGGTCGAGTTGTGTCGTAATCCAGACGTAACTATGTAGAACGCATAATCTCAGAGGGCCCGATAAACACCAAGTATCTGTAACGTGACATCGATGTTATCATGTCCGACACAACGATATAACTGTTACACAACACCACGTGTTATGTAAGAAGCTTTCTACAATAAGCAGTAAGACTTACGCAATAAGGAAATTGACTAAACACGACTGGTTATTTTGCTAATGAACGACTGTGATTTTGGTGTGAATTTTCTTACCGCCCAAATCTTATTGCTTATTGTAGAAAACCTCCGGCAATTGCATTGTTGCATCGGACGTTGTAATACCGATGTTATTTTACTGATACTTGGTGTTTACTGGGAATACTTGTCTGTTTTGTACCTTTTTTGGGGTGGACTTTAATTGACACATTCTCGTGAGCCGTCTTCGTTCTCACCTTTCTCTCTCTCTCTCTCTCTCTCTCTTTCTCTCTCTAACCGAACTTGCGTTCTGGCTCTACTAAAATCTCGCCTGGCGTCCGTCACGCGGAATTCGGTCGGCATCGATCGATCGACCGTCGCTGTTCTCGGGATCATACGTCGTGAGACGCGAGAGAGACTCTCGAGCGGAAACAAGGCCGCAAGAATCTGTGTCATTCTGTGTATCCGCCGTCGGCGTTGCGGACCGAAATCTAAGAGAGACACCATTAAAGTCCACCTTGAACGACGCTTATTGTTCGGCTTCGTATCTATCTTCCGTGTGTGTGAAGTATATTACTACTTTAGAGCGGCGGATGATGTGTTTCCTTTCTCTCTATCTCTCTCTCTCTCTCTCTCTTCCTTCCTCTCCTATGGCGGAAAGGCACTCTTGTAGAGGATGCTGTTTGTTTAACGCGACGCTCCGCCTTTGTTGTACATTGCTTTCTCACATACGTCGATGTGTCGAGAGATTCGCGAGGTAGCGGTAGTGTATGTTACAGATACTATTTATTTATTAATATTATTACCACTAGCACCGCCACTACCACTACTCGTGTATCACGAATGTGTCGACGATGCGAGGTGGACTTTAATACGAGTCTCATTGACGATTTTGGTCTGGCCGATCCCGGACAGGTCTTAGAGCAACAGCTGCAGCAGCAGTTCGTGCCTCTGAGCGACGTCGGCGGCTCGGAATCGGAATGGTTCGTGTCCGATCAAGAGGAGGAGCTAATCCGCCTGCTCTCCATCTCTGAGAGCTCTCAGCCGGTCCAACGGACGTCCGACTTATTGTTGCTCATGTAGCCGGATATTCCGTTTCCTCCTCCGTCGCAAGCACGGTCGTTTTCCGCGTACGTCGCGGCGGGCTGTGTCGGTCCCCGCGACGGAGTCGCCGTGCGAATTAATCAATCGAACGTAATCGAACGATCCACGAACGAATATATCGCATGTGCGCGAAATTGATCTCCTGTCTCTCTTGCATACGTTGAGAAAGAAGGCCTGTTCTCTTTTCAGCCGAACTAACGCAACTTCGTTCCTTTTCCTTTTTCAGCGCAATATAATTGACATCCCTGGGATATCCGATTTTAATCCGCTATTCTCTTTATCTTCGCAAGGTCGAGTCGAAAATATGTTCAGACAAAAGTTGTAAGGTCTGGAGGGGGACATTAGTTGATTTAATTGACCTTAATTTCGTTGTGTAGTTAATAATTCAAGGTCATTACAACTTCGCTTCTTTTTTTATAGAATTATATAGTTTTCTTCTTAACACAGATCGGTTCCTCCGTTCATTCTGCGTATTAAAGTACCGGGGTAAGATTATCGAAAAATGAATACTTTTCGAGATATTTTACTTTTTATTCTGGTATTTTTCAGCACAGGAAAGAAACGATATGAAATATACCCATAAAATATTCACTTTTCGGCAGTTTGGCCGTTGAAACCTGAGGTACACTCTCTATGTAACCTGAGATATACTTGTTATATACTTATAACTATAATTATAACTTGCCACATACTTATTTTACACTTATTATTATACATATAAGCCTGTTATACACTCGTTATATATTTATAATTTGCTATACACTTATTACATATTGATTATATATTTATTGCATTCGAAAAACGAAAATGCCACCTAGTTCAGCTGGAAAAAACAGACCTAGAGAACAAACGGTTGCGTGTGAAACGCAAAATGCGAATTTGAATGCGCGTCAAAGAGGCGAGGCAGATCGATCCGATGCGAAATTAGCGAGTTTTATTTACCGAAGTGTAGAGATTACGACGTAGTCGCAAAATCATGTACGAACGACTTTTGTATTAATGAGTCACGATTTCCCACAAAATCTCTCTCTCTCTCTCTCTCTCTCTTTCCAATTACTATCGTTTTTAGCCGAGACACACTAGTTTTACTCGGCCGAGTTCATCAGTTGGGTACGTACGTCCCTGTTTCACGAAGATGCGTTTTGCACGGATTAACAGGCTCTTCCAGTTAACCAGCTTCCGCATATAATAACGCCCGTCGTCTCTCACGATCGCCAAGAGAGGGTCGTTACGTCACATTGATAACACAACCGGTCCACGCTTCACGCATTAATCACTCTCACGTGTATTGACAAACTGCAGTCGGCGGTATTTCGCGTCTCGGCGTACTCTCACTTCCCGTACTTGAAGCTCAGGCACTAACCCTAGTTTGGCATTCATGGGTCAGCTTGACCCAAGCGAAAAATCGCGATCCCACAGTTGTCGAATCGTCGAATCATTGCAGATACAAGCACAGAATTCGTTTCCCGAAGCATGCAAGACGTTTCGCTTCTTTCCGTGCAGAATCAACATACCGTCTCACCTTACGCCTCGAATTATCTGTTCTTTAAATAATAATCGGGGAAAAGAACTTACCAAATTTACATCTTGTGCATTCGAAACTATAATATCTGTACAGTGAATAATTGCACATTTGCACGTATCTGAGTAAAAGGCGTGTCGGCGAAGTTACTGGGTCTCACAGATGGTGTGAACCAAACTGAGCAGCGGGAAACAAACGTGCCAACGAAGGGTTAATAATATCCTTTAATATCTCGTAGCTCTAACCATCTCGTACTCGCGAGTACATTAACACGTGACACGTGTGTAAAAAAAAAAAACTCACGCGCTTTGACGCAAATATAAGGAAGAAAACGCGATATTCACGTAGTAAGTCAGTGCGATTAATTCGTTCCCCTCTCTCTCTCTCTCTCTCTCTTTCTCTCTGGCACAGGTAATGGTGACCAACGTGACATCGTTGCTGAAGACCGTCAAGGCCGTGGAGGACGAGCACACCCGTGGCACCAGGGCGTTGGAGTCGACGATCGAGGCGATCGCACAGGAGATACGCGCCCTCAACAGCCCGGAGAGCCAGAAGAGCAACGTCACGCCGGAGGATCTGGTGCGTTGCACCAAGAGCATCACGATATCCACGGCGAAGGCGGTCGCAGCCGGGAACAGCTGCAAGCAGGACGACATCATCGCCGCCGCCAACATGGGCAGGAAGGCGATCAGCGACATGTTGACCATCTGCAAAGGCGCCGCCTACAACTGCGCGGAGACGGCCGATCTGCGCGACCGCACCCTGCAGGCCGGCCACGACGTCGCCATCAACTACCGCGAGCTGCTCCAGGCGATCCTGCAGATCTCCTCCAGGCAGGGCGACGCCAAGCACACGTTGCCGGCGATCTCGCGCAAAATCGCCCAGAGCGTGACCGAACTGGTCGCGGTGGCGGAGCTGTTGAAGGGCAACGACTGGGTCGACCCCGACGACCCTACGGTGATCGCGGAGAACGAACTCCTCGGCGCAGCTGCGAGCATCGACGCCGCCGCCAAGAAACTGGCCAGCCTCAGGCCAAGGAGGAGCATTCAGGTGAGCGTCCAATCGCTGTCATTCAGAGGAAGCGTTAAAAAATAGCAGATGTTGCTGGAAGTTCGAAGCGATCGCTTTGAGCGAATGTTGAAAATATGGAAAATACATATCAAAGCCCGAGTCAAGTATTTGTAGAGTAAGTATTTATGACATTTATGATATTTATAACTTTTGATGTGTGTACTTGTTAGACTTTTTGTTTGTCACTATTTTGATGCCTGAGAGGTCACTTTTGTCATTTTTCCTGCCAAGAAAAAAATCACGATGGTAATAAACAAACACGATACAATAACGAATATGTTCGCAGAACGTTAAGATTATGTTAAAAGTGACAGTTACAATTACGTAGGAGGAATATAATCGGGCATGGGGGGTTGGTAGGTTGCGAAGAACCGTTCTGCCCTTCGCGAGATATGTTTGATTTTCTTGGTCGTTTATAAATGATCGACCAGGAATCGAACATATTATTGCGGCGGGTAGAGAAGTCGACGTTGCGAGTACCCGGGGTGAGTTTCGGTCGGTAAGATTACACCAAATCATCGTCTGTTCCTGGATGCTCGTCGTCCTTCCCCCTCCCTCCCCTCTCCCGTCGAGTTTCACACTAAGACACGCTTTCGCTCCGCAGGAGGCGAACGAGGACATGAACTTCGACGAGATGATATTGGAGGCCGCGAAGTCGATCGCCGCCGCCACGTCGGCCCTGATCAAGGCCGCCAGTGCCGCCCAGCGCGAGCTGATCGCCACCGGCAAGGTGTCCCGCACACCGTTAACCAGCTCCGACGACGGGCAATGGTCCGAGGGTCTGATCTCCGCCGCCAGACTGGTGGCGGCCGCCACCCACAGCCTCGTGGAGTCCGCCAACGCTCTCGTTCAAGGAGTAAGCTCCGAGGAGAAGTTGATCTCCAGCGCCAAGCAGGTTGCCAGCAGCACGGCGCAACTGTTGGTTGCTTGCAAGGTCAAGGCCGACCCTGACAGCGAGAGCACGAAGCGCCTGCAGGCCGCTGGCAATGCGGTGAAACGTGCGACCGATAATCTCGTACGCGCTGCGCAACAGGCTATCCAACAGGAGGAGGACCGCTCGTTGGTCCTGAACCGCCGCATGGTAGGCGGCATCGCGCAGGAGATCAACGCACGCTCGGAGGTGTTGCGAATTGAGCGCGAGCTGGAGGAGGCCCGGGGCCGTTTAACCGCGATCCGTCAAGCCAAGTACAAGAACCGGCCGGACCTGGCCGACGACGGTGAGCTCGATCAGAGCGGCTACGAGGGCTACACGACCCGTTACGAGACCAGGGCGTACGAGCCGTCGCACATGCACTCGCCGCAGACGATGCACCACACGCTGGACCAGCTGCAGACCAGCGCCCAGCACATCAGCCATCACCAGTTCGCCGAGATCGGTGATCGGCAGCAGCTGGTCAGCCCGGAGAAGGTGCACTCGACGCAGAGCACCCTCGAGAGGAAGATGAAGGACGCCCAATACCGCTCGGTCCTTCTGGACAGCGAGTCCCTGGACAGGAAGTACGGCGACAGTTACCAGGAGCGGAGCCCGTACGTCGTTACCGAGAGGAAGATCGTGACGGACAACTTGCCCGGTCAGTACAGCTCGATCGAGCGGAAGATCAACCAGGAGATCATCAGCGCGGCGGAGAGGAAGCACGCCGGGGACATCGCTTACCACCCGCCGCCTCAGCATATCTCATACTCGCCGCGGTCCCCGACGCACAGATCCGCCCCGCAGATACCGACCTCGCCGGAGACGACGTACGAGAGGCAGGATCAGCAGCATCCGATCGATCGCTTCTCGGCCGCCAGCCCGATGAGCACCTTCCGCTCCGAGAAGCAAGTGGACACCCAGCGATTCGGCGTCGTGCCGCATCACCAGACGTTCAAGAACGTCGAGAGCAAGGTCGTGCCCGGCGGCAGAATCGAGACCATCACGACGAAGGTGTACACGTCGACGCCCGGCAAGAGCAGCTCTTCCAACTACGAGGCCACCGAGGAGACCAAAGAGTACACGACCTCCGGCAACGAGCTGTCCACGTTCAAGAGCGCCTTCGACAACGACAGCGTCGAGGAGCGCACGACGAAGCAGTCGAGCTTGCACAAGGTCACGGAGAAGAAGACCGTGACGATGACGACGTCGAGCCGGCAGGAGTCCAACACGAAAACCTTCCGCTTCGAAGACAAGCAGTAAAAACCCGCGGGAGAGGACGCGAGAGGACGGCTGATCCGACCGTCCGTTTGCGCGATGACAAACAGGCAATGTCCCTCCGGAGGTATGAGGTATTCAAGAAGAGTTCGGACAGAGCGACGTCGTTCGTCCCCGCGTGTTCCTCAACGCGAAATTATTTCAGTGGTATTTGACTGGCGGAATAAGCTGTTTGGGGATTCCGGGAGGTTGAACTTCTCGAGGTCGGGGTTGAAAATGAAGCGGTCGATAGCCGAAGGTGGATCGAGTGATGAAAAATAATCAAATGATTAGAAATGATGCGATTTAAGGCGCGATCTAATCGTTACTCCACGTGTAATAGTATATTTTTATTGTCACGTCGTTGTTCGATCGCGCTTGAGCGACTTGCGAGAAGAGACGTCCGGGATACACCCGACCCCGGGAATCGGCACGCTCGACGAACCGGAGCGCGAGCGGTCGCGGGGAACTCGGCCGGGACGACGACGAAACCTTCGCGACGAGAGATAGAAAAGTGCCCTTAGATAAACGTGCAACTCGTGCTTTCGATTTGTTGCCTTTTTGCGAGCGTATATTTATTCGTGGAGCCATATTTTCGCGCCGTGATCTTTTCGCCGCGACCGATACGACGAGTGGCCGGACCGAGTCGATCTTAACGGGACGATTTTTCGTTGTTGTTGTTGTTGCGTGTGTAACGTTTACTCCCGGCTATATTACGTAAGACATAACTAACTTACTTTACGACTACCACTACTATTACTTCCGTTCGCACAGAGTAAGATAGAGGTTTTATGGTTTTAGGCCCATGACGCACGCAAAAAGCGTAAAGCAATAAGACACGAGCAGTAAGCAAGCATTGACCAATCACGATCGATTATTCTTCGGCCGTAAGGAGAATAATCGACTGTGAACGATCAATTTTCTTACCTCTCGGCTTTTGCCGCTTAAGTTTTTCCGCGTACCATGGCCCCTTATTTTCTCTCTCTCCCTCTCTATCTCTATCTATCTATCCATCTCTTTCTCTTGTTTCTTTTTTCTCCCTCGTTTGTTCTCTTCTTATGAACGCTTACCGCGCTTACCTTGAGGATAATAGTTGAGGTACCGTACGTAATCGCGCTTGAGTTTTTAATGTATAGAGTTAATTTACTTTTACACTTTACAAACGGATGGTCGAGAGAACCACGAATTAACCAGAGAAGCAACATATCATTTAATTTTATTAATTTTCCCGACGTCGCCCGGCGCCCGCGCGCGGGTGCCCAGCGACTCACCGGCACTCTCGCTGCATTAACATTTTCCGCTTTCTAGATTAACCCCCCCCCCCCCC